CCCCGGCGGGCGGGGCTCTGCGTGGGGCCGGGGTGTTCGGTTGGCCTCTTTGGCGCGGGGGCCTCGTCCGCCCCGGTCGTTCCGCTCTGCTCCGTGCCGTGGTGGTGGTTGGGGCTGCTGCGCTGGGGCGCCTCCGCCGGTCCCTGCGCGCGCCGCTGCGGGGGGGTTCCCGACCCCCCCAGCAGCAGAGCGCTGCTGCTTGGGGGGGGGGTCCCGACCCCCCCAGCAGCAGAGCGCACTGGACCCAGCGCTCCCGCCTCTTCGCCGCCGCCCCCCCCTCCCCCCTCGGCTCGTATTTGAGCGGTACGCTCGAGGCGGTTGTGTTCACCGCGCCTTCGAGCCCAATATTACACCTTCGTCGTGTCTCGAGACTCGAGTGCTGGCGTTTTACTAAAGACTTGTGACCATGTGAGTCTATCTTGTACTTGAGCACTTGAGCACTGGATAGGGTCGATTCCGCGTGGCATATTACTCGAGGTTGCTCGCTTCTTGTCCTTCACTTGTACATGTAGCTCAAAAAAATGGCACTTTTCGGTGCTGGTAGTCCCCCCAAAACAGGCGCGCGCAGCGCGCCCAGGGGCGCCGCAGGCGCCCCAAGCGGCGCGGAGCGTCGCCGCAGGCGGCGGACAGCAGGGGCCCGAAATTAAACGCCATTTTTGGTTCCGCGGTTTTGCCACTAACATTGAAATCCGGTACAAAACGACTTACCCGAAACAGCTGACAGACAGACAGAGAGCACACACGTTCGAGACGGGGGTGCGCCGACCGCCGTCGCGGACCCAGTAGAGCTAGATGGTCCCACAGGACGCGCCCTTAGCCTCTGAGCTCGTCCTAGACGTTTTAGGGGAAGCGTGGGCAGACCAGAACGCGGCCACGGCGACGCTCCGAGGCTGTCAGCAGCGCTGGCGGCGATCGTGGCGACGGCGCCTCGCCGCGGCAGCGGCACAGAATCGAGGAGGTGGCGTTGGTGGCAGCATCAATGAGATATGAAGGCGGCCGTAATGCTGGTGGCGCCTTCGAGGGCGGCGGAGAGGGCGGTAGCAGCGACGGCGATCGAGTCATGTGGCAGGGGTGCGAAGATGCAGCAGGGAGGCTTGAGTTAGCGACGCGGGGCGGTGGCGTGCCAGCAGGTAAGCGGCGGCGGCGGAGAGCATGTGCGCGAACTAAAGGCCAATCTTGAGATATCCATTTTGCACCACCTTTGGATTTCTGGTACAAATTGACTTGTGGATCTTGAAGGCACGCGCAAGAGCGCACCAGGCAAGTTGAATGAACCTCGGCTCAAAATGCGGATCTCGCTGCCGCTAAGCGTGGCATCGATGATCAAACGAGCGGTGACAGTAGCGGTGGCAACGGCGGCAGCGTCGACCGGAGCACCTACTGCGGTGTGAAATGTGAGCTGGGAGGCGGGAGGCAGATGCAATAGGAGCGGGAGAGTGAGATCGTCAGCCAGCACGGCAGACCTTTACGGCGCGGCTGCGGGCGCGTTTGCAGTGACATGCGATCCATGTGGTAGCAAAGGCACGGCGGGAGTAGCGTATGCAGGCTGTGAGCGAGGGTGGGTGGCGCGTCGCGAGTGGCGGTGCAGCTAGTCGGTGGCGCGGGTGCTGGCGACCGGCAGAGAGATGCAGCCGGCGCGAGAGATGAACCCTGCGGAGAGGCGAGGTGACGGGCGAACCGCGACGGTGGGAGAGGGCTGAGCATCGGCTTCACCGGAGGCACAGGAGCCTCGCACGCCCGACCGTGACGAGAGCGAACCGACGCTGCAGGTCAAGCAGCGTCGGTTCGCCACCAACAGCGAATGGGTACCCTCCCCAAAAAAATCGTCTGCTCGACAACGACTTCGTCATCCATGGAGGTCAAGGAGCTGCCTCCAGTCGTGCTGGCCACGCCCGTGCCCACCGCTGCAGCCGTGCCGTGCGACGACAATCCCGATCTCATGGCGATCATCGACGAACCAGGTGTGTGGCAGGGCAGTATCAAGATACCTTGTTTCCCGGTTTCCTTCCACATTCAACAAACGCATGCGAGAGGTTCGCTGATGGAAAGCGGAACGACCAAGCCGATGTTATGCGGGTGCGCCCTTGTGGACGGCACAATTTTCGACACACTGCAAATCTCACCGGACTTCAGCTCGATGACACGGCAATACAGCAACGGAGATGCACACCAGTTCACGCTGACTAGCTTCGACATCGGCGCCAAGACCGCTTCGTACCAAGTCACCGGATTCATGCATGGCAAACCGACGGCAGGCACGATGCTCGTCGACGGTCGCGCACACACCCGCACCGTGACGCTGACTGCGCCGCAGAGTTTCACGTACACGCTGGAGAAGGTGGCGTGAGGATAGTTTCGCTTTCGGCCGAGGAGCCGGCCCACATGAATCGCGATCCGCTGAGAGTATCCCACACTGAACTGGACCCCTCGATTGTCTCGCCCTCCCTCGCTGGTGTGCTCATTGGGGGGGGTCATAACAATCTTGTACTACCGCCACACTAAATCTAAAAGCCGTATATAGTGAGCCACTTCACTCGGGCGTCTCGGCTGACGTTGATCGATCTCCCTAGCCTATCGATCCCCCGCTCGATCCTCGGATCGCTCGCTCGTCGAAATCGATCGACTGAAGTCATCAAGGTGGCCCAGCCTTTTCTTTTTTCGAAAACGCGCACGCGCGCGCGCACGCCCGTCGCCCGGCAAAACTGTCAGGTCCGCCGCGACGCGTCGCCGCAATGGCGGGCGGCGACGTGGTGGAAGCCATGCAGCTCGCCCTCAAGCCATTTCATATGCAGCACCTTGCCGACGACTGGGCGGCGCAAGCCGGCGAAAAAAAGCTCAGCTGTCTGTAAGGCCGTTCAGAGCTGCCACTTGCCAGCA